AGCCACCAACTATGCGCATCTCAGCTTAATGGTTTTCCGGTTGCTTATCGAAGACCAACTCTTATGTAAACGAATATGTAGCGATGAGAGTAAGGTCGCCGTCAGACTCTGCCGTCAACGGCAACCATTCCTGCCAGTTGTCCGAGGGGAACGCATCCTAGCAACGAGCGTGCTAGACACCATGATTGATGGTGTCAACCACAACCTACGCCGCAGGCTAGATGTCAGCCTCTACACTTTATGCGTTGGTATCATGCTGCGTATCATTTCGTACCTCTCGCGGTCACGAACACGACTGCAGTACCATTGGGCTGAGTTATTTCGCTCACTCTTGTCCCTGATCCGCTTTCTGACAACGTATGCCGCCGATCTCAAGGGCCTCCCGCACTTCGATTCTCTCCTTGATCTTGTGGTGAATCTCTTAGCCCTTTCCCTCTCCGCGGGCGAGGCATTTCTTCCTACGCCCGCTGCCTACGATGACCTCTTCTACAAAGTTGTAGAAAGCGGCGAGATCCTAGTCAAGTTCCGCGACACCTATGCCCTCTCAAGTCGGCCATCAAATTCAATAAGCACTCTCATCAGCGTGAGCACTCACTACAAGACTATGCTTGACTCTGGCAGCTCTAAAAGGAACCTCACAAGTACCGAGGTAGCAGATGTGATAAAGCAGGGGTACGAGACATTGAGTATCCAGGCAAAGGAAGGACTCGACGGTTGGGAAAAATATCGCGAAGCAGATGAAAGAACGCTATTGAAGAAGATGGCACGAGCGACCGTCGCAGATGTCCAGGTCATCGTCCAAACTTAGGTAGTATGGAAAGTAAGAGAGACCATGATGTGATTAGAGCCGCCTTCGTGTGGGATTAGTAGCGAAAATCTATTAGCGCAAGACCTTATGGCTTACGACGAATCTGCTGTCTGTGGGAGCAATAGAAAGGGGGAAGAAAGGCCTTGCAGTAACTCGCCGTAAGTACAATGATTTCTGCGCGCGATCCGTAAGTTGAACTCCACGTCAACGGTGATCATTGACCCGCCAACAATCCTATCTTGTCTAAGCGCTGAGATCTTGGAGTGACAGTATAGGATACCACTGCTGAGTTTTCTCTCCACAACTTGTATAAAATGATATGGCCCAAGTCCTAATGCAAGTAGCCATATGACATTATCTGGCCTCTAAGATAGGTCTAGCCACCGCTCATACATGTATACATGTATACAATCTCTGACGTACATCTTCCTATCCATAGATGACACTAACTGTCGCTCAGGCAATGCGTATGGGACAGCTTCAAACCCGCGGAACCCCCGTGCCGTGTGCCTGCCGATACTCCGACATCACATTACAAGGAATTTTAGTATGGTAGAAGACATCTTTCTAGAAAACGACATGTTCAATTTCCGGGGGGTTTGCCCGTCCCTAGTGAGCCCTAATGTATATGGATGTAAGGAATGCCGTCGCAACAACGACTAGTACCGCTAAGATAACCCGGCATTATCAGGACTGCCCATTCCATTTCCATTGTCTTTAGTACCACTGTCTCCCGCAAACCTCTCTCGACAGCCTCCTGCTTCCCCTCAGCGGCACTCCCAGCGTTACTCCCAGGCGAACCGGTCGCCGTCACCCTCCCCCTCCCCGTCCCTTGAATCCAGCCTATTGTTTGATTCACACGCTTTCTCCTATAATTGACACTACTTAGTATCCATATATTTTATAACACATGACAAGACCTTACTGGTCGGCTTGAGAAGCCGGGGCTGGTCCCGAACTTGCAGCTGATGGCACCCTTGGTTCGAGGGACGACCCCGATGTCAATGTTTGCGGTGTCGTTTCAGAGGGCGCTGGGAGGGTAATCGGGGGAGCAGGAGGTTAGAGAACCTGGAGGGGGGCATGTTGGAGGCTGTAATTTTCATATTAGTAAGATCAACCAGTAGGAGGTAGGTATTGGAAATCTCAGAAAGCACACACCTAAGTATATTAGTGTCACGATGCCAACCATAGGTAGGGGTACGAGCTCTGTTGTTCCGCAAGGAACTCTAAACCTAGCTACCTAGCCCCTGGTATATATGGGAACGACTCCTTTGTCTACGCTGTCTCAGACTGAACCCCGACAGGTCAGACCTCTGACATATTAGCAGCGAAAGTTAGGTAGCGAATACTAATAACAATGATAGTGGTGCTAATGGCTGGTGTAATTCCGAACAACGTCAACTTATGGGAATTACATCCTTGTTTTTAAAAGAGCGTAGTATGGATAATACTAAGCGAGCACTCACGTTGTAGAACGATCGTTTTGGTATGATGTTTTGTGTGAATGTGTCAGAAGACTGATCTGTTAGAGGTGACCTGTTGAGCTTTGATCCGAGAGGAGTTGGATGCCAAAGGTCTAAGCTTGTTGGGAGGATAGATTCCAAGATAGCATAAGATAAAGCATAGTCCTCTGTATGTGTACCGTAACCCTCAGTAGATACATGTACATGTGGGTTTAGGGCTCACTTCGGGCTGAATCTTGACAGATCACCTCCGACGGGTCAGTCCTATGACACATGCTAAGGCTTCATTCAACAGAGTTTTCTCCAGGTTATATGGTATTTCCTATAAAAAAGCAGGCATTGCAGAATACCCTTACTCGTAATATATTCACCACCATCATATCCCTTTTCCAGCAAGGCCGATGCATCACAATCGCGGCACAGCAATCATGCTTTCCCAACAGCGAGATATCGCGACCCAGGAACGTATGAATTCAGAAACAGATCCAAATGGGACATCTTTACCGAAGGTAGACGTAGCACCTCCCGCGTATGATAACCTCCATGCAGGCCTAGGAGACAGTGGCCTACCAATACTGTCTTGAAAATGCATTGGCTATGACCAAAAAAAGAAATAGTCGCTTAGTTAATAAAATAAGGCAATTCGAACAGTCACTTCATGGTCCACTCTACCTAGTCAAACCAGAGGCCAATATAGACACTCTGTTGGTTGCTAGCTAATCCTGTCCAACTTTGAGATAGCATTACAGATTGTTTACCTAGGTAAAGATTCCGAACTATCGATACCAATGACACGAGACTCACCATTGTCTAACTCAAGTCGTTACCTCATCCGTAAAATCTCCGCGGCCAGATGTTCATCGCAGTTTTTAACCCACTTTCTAATGGTAAACCAGCATGGTTGGTGCGCTCATCTCCAGTGCCGTTCGCAAACAGGTTCACCCACTGTGACACGAGTTAGCGATGCCTTCAAGAATACAAGGAATCTTAAAGGAAGTACTTTAGACGTGTGACTCCAGCTCGATTGGGGAGCGGTAGCGGTGACTCCTGGGACGGGTTGAAGATAAAAAAAGAAAAGATAAAAAAGAAAAAGAAAAAGGGGGGAGGGGTGAGGTGGCGTTATTACTTACGAAGAGCGCATTACCAGCAACAGGCCTGAACGCCAAGCCACCTTCGTCATGCTTCCTCCAGAGTTGCCGTCCCTCCTTATCCATCTTCGAGGGTGTGGTCGTATTCACGAAAGGGAACCACGTTTCGCCGCCCGTGCATTGGTCCTGCAGGATGGCGAAGAAGCTGGCAATGCGATTCCAGCTCTTCCCGCGGCCCGACATGCCTCTCCGTACGGGCTGTGGGCTTTTGTACCAATCATGATGTCTATTGAAGCGCTGACCTATCGTGTAGCGCACCAGCTGGGGCGGGCCGATGTCGTCTCGGGAAGGATCTAGGATCGTGCCGAGGAAGCCCTCGGCCCGCGCTAGCACACATTTCACGGCCCGGTTATCACGCGGTAGGCCAGCGGATGAAGAAGTGCGGTCGGACGTGCCTTGGTTCCGACCACGCTTGTAGACTTGAGACGGGGTGAACTCGGGCTCGCCGGCTTCAAGAAGCGCCGTAATCTCGGCTGGCGCGAGGAAAGAGTCAATGTATATGAGAAGGGGGTCGAGCGAGATGATCTCGGTCGTGTATGTGTGAGGAAGACAAGTGAAAGGTGAGGGTGAGTGGTCAATATCGTCGTTGAAAATTTTCGAGATCGATGGCGATAGCGAAGTGAGATGCGGGGATAGGGTTATTAGATGTGGGTATGCAAAGCGATATAGAAACGGAGCTGTTATGGCGACGACGGTGATGACGAGGGCCGTGATACCCGTCGGTCGACTTATCGGGGCCATGGTGGATTAACAGTAAGGCGATCTCTTCACAAAGCAGTCGGTGCTATAGCGACACGATTTACATTGATGCAGAGGTCAAAACGTATATTATGTTGGTTTGGTTTTGTCAACTGTCATAGGTAGTTGAGCGAGACCTAGGATTTCTATTAATGCTCCAAGGCTTTCCAAGTAGATTCGATAACATCTGATCCCCTCGACGCCGCTCGGAGAACCTAGTTCCGAGCAAACCCTCTTACATAACTATTAGCTGTTGATGCCGGTGGCATGAGTGGTGACACCGCATTGCAGGCTGAAAAGCCTGGACTTTGGAGTGCAACTAATTGGGGAACGCCGTCAAAACCATGCACAAAATTGGTTATTCGATGTAACATATCATTTTATGCCCATGCCCATGCCAGAATGGAACATCTCTACACGTGAACCTACGAGATTTCACCTTTAACGCCAAACATCAAGGATGTACCATAGCGGAATATTACATGTTATAATATTTATTAGGTACCTATATACAACTAGAGGCATCAATGGTTGATATTCCTTACCTTATGTACTTATAAATAGCTATCTTATATTAACAATGGTAAGAACGTATAAAGCAGGTTTAAACTTATATGAAATTAACACATCATTTCTTTTTCATATTTAATTACCGACTTTCATTCATTGGCAAGTTAGGGATTACTTTGAACTAGTTACATTTGGTACTCATGACTGCCTTATGTGACAGCATTATCCTTAAGGTAATAATACCGACAGAAACTCATCCCGACTCAAAAAGAGTTACCCGAGTATCTACGCCTAGAGAGGGACCGCCAAAAGATGATGTGAACTGACATATTTCTCTCGATCGGGGAATTGAACCCCGGCCACCTGCGAGCTTCATCTTGCTAGAGGTTATTTACCTAGTCTACCAGAGAAACGATGACAAGCAGGTATCCTGACCACTAGACGAATCGAGATTTCTAGCTTGTCCATCGCCGAGACACTAACCGCTAGTTCTTGCTGTGCGGTGGAGCTGCAATGAAAATAAAGGATGGCCGCCTCTGAATTTGACTAGTTGGTAAAGAGGCATATTGTCTCGAAACCCTCATTTCTAATGTACATACCCCTAGTAGCCTATCCTTTGACCGTGAGGGTCATTATCATCGGCAAGTTGGCCAAGACTGGTCCTCTCACGATGATATTGCCAAGTCTGAGCTGTGAAGTCTCGACTAATGACTGCGGTTGCTATATCAAGCCGACCTCCATGAGGTAAGCTCAACATGGAAACCGTGAAAAGAGGCAAAAATCAATACGATCAATGTTCGAATTGAAGCTTCAAGTGCTTCTGTAAATTTTTATTCTTAGTTAAGATTCTTCCTCTTTCCTTACCTGTTGTTAGGCTTCTTGCTGAGTCCTTTACGCGAGAGAGTTTTCAAAATAGGGGCAATGTTGATATGTGAATTATATATTTAGTTATGTGCAAATATCGATATATGGGGTCGGTTAGTGAAAGTTACGGCAACTCTTATGGGTCTTCGTCATTTGGCTCAAACGCCCCTTGGATCAACTCGTAACCAAGTGCAGAAACAAACCTCTTCTGGGCATGCTGAATCGTGACGTAGACCCTCAGCTGCTTTTACTGCGCCGGCAGTATATGCAGTTGTTCGAACCCGACTTTCTCGCTTGGCCACCGCCCAAATTCCTCAAGGGTATAGACGTACAAAAATGGTTGTACAGGTACATGTTTGACCCAAGTCGGAATCCGAGGCTACCACCTGAGGGGTATCAGATGCGCGTCTTGAAGCGGCTCATCGACAAAATCGAGACAGCGACAGAGACAGAAAACCTGAAAGACGTAAGTTCCTCATTTATCTAGACATTTCCGTATTCCCGACTTTATCTAAAATTATCAGATCTCGAACGAGCTTGTGGAACGCCTTGCGTCTTTCACAACGAGCGGAGTGCGGTCAGAATTTCAGGTAGTCCAGGAGAAGGCATATGTGACGTTTACATGTATACCCGAGAAGGGAAACCTGGTTGGACCCGATGATGATGGGCTAGAGCCTACAATGACTCTGCTCGAGCAGCGACACTTGGTATCGGGTTCTCGAACGACGGGATTTCGGACATGGGAAGCGTCTCTTCACCTGGGCTCTTACTTACTAACTGACGCCGGCTCACATCTTGTGAGGGGTAAGAATGTGTTGGAGCTGGGCGCTGGCACTGGATTTCTTACTATACTTTTGGCAAAACATCTAAATGCAAAACACGTCACCGCCACAGATGGAGACGAGGGGGTCGTTGAAGCAATAAAGGAGAACATCGCATTGAACGAACTTGACCAGCACAGAATCAGAACAGAAACCCTGATGTGGGGTTGTGACCTGAAAGAGACTTGGGTAGAAAATGATTATGCCACTCACCCGTACGACGTCGTGGTTGGGGCCGATATTGTAAGCTCATAGAGTCTAGTCATCGGATGGGGAGAATGTTTCGCTAATTCGTATCATAGACATACGATAAGGTCGCCATAAGAGCGCTCGTATCAACACTCCAGGGCCTCTTTGATATGAGGTCAACACTCAAGATCGTCATAGCGGGCGTCGTCCGAAATACCGAAACGTTTCAGACGTTTAGAGACGAGTGTGGTATGTATTTACACACCCGCACCGGTCTAAATACTTGGCAACACTGACATATTGCTTTAACACTAACAGCCTCCCACCACTTTGATGTAAAAGACATTCAGTTCGAATCGAAACCAATGCGCCAACAAAGAGCACTCTTCTATGCAGCCGCTGTGCCGATAAAGATATTATCGATCACCCGTTCTTAAGTTCATGTATTTCTGGGCCATTCTATAACAGAGGCTTCGCTTCAGTCGATGTTGTCGCTCCACGACTGGACTCAGCCCTTGTAGACCTTATTAGCATCATGATTATCGCTAGCATCGTAGCGGACTAGACGGGCAGTCGCATCTCCGATATCTTCATCGTTGGTAATCCTCACAGCATCTAGAGCGGTCTGAAGGAACGAGGTAGCCAGCTTGACATCGATGTTGACTGAGACCGGTTGTTGGTCAGATGAGATACTAGTTGTTACGGTGCTAAGGTCGTCTTCCACGGGGATCGTAATTCAAAAGGGTCCAATTGCAAATTTTGAGAGAGTGAGCGACGGCCGCACCAAGGAATAAGGACGTATCCAACTAGATGTTTACGGTGATAGAAGAGACAGAGGGGAATATGAGATGATGTGATGTGTTTATGAGGTGGAGGCTATCTTCAATGCATATAAAAACTCCGACATCCTGCCATTACAAACAACAATTAAGAGCCAACGAAATCCTCCTGTTTATCCTCGCGCGCCGCACCCTCATGCGTTGCCAAGATTCCAAATTATTTCCTTGGCCATCATCGGCTTCATCATGTTCCGTTTCTGGCCCTTTTCTCGCGAAACAGCACCAAGCCACAAACCCAAGTACGACTCTAGCCATGAATACGACGGCAATCAGGACACTACAGGACAAGAGACGCACTGCGTCGTCTTCGGCGATCGGTGGACTACCGTATACTGTTACCATTCGTCCGGCGGCGTGCTAGTGCTGCCGTTCTGCAACGGAGGCGACCTCCCAATCCTACAGCTCGCACGCTTTGAGCCTGCAGGAACGCCCCGATGATTCCGTGCCAGAGGACCAGCATTGCGCTTGCATGAGAACTTTGGGCGCGTGGAAGTTCATGAGTGCGTATGAGTTGAGACCATGGACTTTTCCCACCCCGGCACGCTAGATAAGAAGATGCTGGTGGTTACGGCGTGGCCCCGGAGCGGGGCCGGCGTGTGGGTCCTCAGGACATCGATGGGTCAGGGGTATGAAAAGGGGCTGGCTCCTGTGTGGACTGCATTGGATATGGATGAGAGATGAGAGGTGGTACAGAGTTTTGGTAGGGCATTTTACGAGGACCCGGCGCATGTGCCCAGAATTGGAGCTTTAATGCTGCCCTGGTGCCTTTAGTTCTTACCTACCAGGTATCAAGTCTACGGAGTAGTGCTGACGTTGACAGTAAAAGTAATTATCCTAATTATCCCTTTATCCTATTAGACTTGTTGCTCTAAGATGTACGTCTCTACTTGGCGTCTATTAACATCAGTTCAAAAATGCATAAACCAGCGCCGAAGCCACAGACCAAAACCCAATACTCTGTGCGTCGATGCCTCTTGCGGCAATCCGAGCTGCAGCACTACTCCCGGTCGCCGAAGAGCCCCCTCCGGTAGCCGCCGACGAGGCGGTCGGCGCACTTGACGCCGAACTAACCGGGTTGCCGCTCCCGCTGCTGTTGCCGCCGAAGAATTCCGGGAACAACTGCGTCGAGTTCTTGTCCTTGATAATTCCATTAATAACGACGGCAGTGCCATTCAGCACGCTTTCGATCTGCTCGTCAGTGCATGTAGACATATCGTAAATATAGCAAAAATGCAGCAAGTCTGGCGGGTCCTCGTTCTTGATTGTCCACGTGTCGGCAGGACCTTCAGTAACGTATTCCGAATTTTCGATGAGGTCGACGGTGCCGGTCGCGATGTCTTTGTTAAACAGGGCGCGATGGAACAGCTTGTACGCCGTCTCGGGCTGGTACGCGGGGACTTCGTGGCCGGCCTCGTAAACGCGCGAGAAGGAGAAGTTACCATACTGCCGGACTTGCCCGCCTACGTATGTGTCGTTGATCACGATGTCCCTGTACCCAGCGGCGTGGAACTTTTCTGTGTTAGAATAGTTGACGGCTAGACTGACAGCCTCGCCGCCAATCCAATTGCAGGCATAGTCGCGGTCGCCGTAGATCATGTGAACCTTGATCCCGTTTTCGAGCAGGAATGCGAGATCCTCTACCCATCCCGGTCGATTGTAGTCGCCTATGGCTCGGAAAGCATAAGCTACGGCGCTCGAGGACTGGGTAAAATTGAGGGGGACACCGAGAGCGCCTTGGACATGAGGCTGGTTGAGATATTGATTATAGAACGGGGCCGGAAAGGGGTTGGGATCGATGGAAGCGTAGTCGTAATAATTGCGGCCCGAATAATTAAGGTACGGGCCCCTGACATAATTGGAGCAAAATGTTTCCGCATCCGAGCATACCTTGTTAACGGTGTCGTTTACTCCAATGTTGTCTGGATCGTATATCATTGACAGGGCGCGGCAGTCATTAATTTGATCACGACAGCCACCGGGTTGCTCCAGAGCATCGACCATCCCCTGGTAGATGGTCTTGTTGACCGTCTCTAGGCCATATGTATTGTTGTATGCAATATGGGGATAGGCAGGCCACTGGATTTGGCGATCTATACACGAGTTGATCAGGATGAGCGTATCGAGGTTGAGGATGTAGTTTTCGCCGTCCGTATCGTTCCAAGTGCCGTTCTCGATCTTGAGGTTCTGCTCCTCGAAGAAGGCTGCAAACTCCGGACCGTACCTACCACCATAAGACTCGGTAGCGATGCTAATCCTGGAGTCATTGGGATAATAACCCGGGAACTCCTGAAACCAGGTTTGTGCAAAGTGCCATAGAGCAATAGCGGCATTGCGAGTACCTTGGGCGGTTTGATTTCTGTTTTGGCTTGGGTAGGTGCCGACTAAGCGCGTGGTATTTTGTTCAGGGACAGGCTCAGACTCATTAAGCTTGACGACCCGTCCAGAGACGAGGTCCTGAGTCACGTTTTGTAACACGTCGTATGAAAAGCCTACCTGGGTGGGTTGGTCAAGGAATAGCATATTGACTTGAGCGAATTAGCGGGTATTTAGCTTTAGCACTGGCTGTCTTTATGAAACAGGAGTCTTGTTTATCTTACCATCCGTATTCCAGGCCCATTGGCTCAATCTAGTTGAGTTAGAGTCCGAATTCACATAGCAAGGCCCATCTTCAGTGAAGAGTCCGTATAAGGAGCTGCTTCCAGGACCGCCGTTCAGCCATATTGACAAAGGCGCATTCTC